TCGCAGTCAGACAAGAAGAGGTGGTGCTCTGCAGACTACGTATTGGGCACACGTATTCAATTCACGGTTATTTGTTGCAGGGCGCCGAAAGACATATCTGCCATCGATGTGGTGCTGTTCTCACCGTTCGTCATGTGTACCGTCATGTATCATGTCCACGCCTCGTGGAAGAACGTCGACGTTGCTTTGGGCAGCATGACTGGCCCTTGACGCTCTGTGACATTTTAGAAGACAACTCGCGCTTTCTTGAATCTAAACAAGTATTTGTATTCCTTAAACATATCAGCTTCGGGGCTCTTTACACGTTTCATTAGTTAGGTAACACAAAAATCGTTATGGGTGCCAAATGACCACTGCAGTCGGCGCGAAAATGCCGATAAACAACAACAGGTCTGGGTAGAGAGGGGCCTATGAGCGAAGGCATACACACAACCATGGCAGGACACTTCAGACCAATTCGGAGAAACACCCTGAGCCGAGACGAATGGAGACATTCCGCAAGCCTAACTGAGTAGCGCTCTAAACCCCAATAATTCGACGATTGGTATGAAGGAATTTTACTCACATTTACGAATTATGCAATGGTTTCCTGATAGCTTAGCAGCAGCCTGAGAGGTGTCACCAAGGATAGGCAAACAAACGTCTCAGAGACACAGAAAATGTTAAGTACGGGAGAGAGAAGAGCAGAGGAGAGGAGCAGTTAGAGCAAAGAGCAGAGGAGCAGAGCAAAGAGGAGTTGTTACTGCTGTCATGTAAAGAAGAATTTCGGACCGAGCTCAGTCGTTGGCAGTGATTTAAAATTTTCGTCTCTCTACATCGACACAATAAGTGTAACGTATAAACCCTTGGACAGACGCGCGAATGTAGCGCAGCTGGAACTGCAGCTGGACCCCCAGCTGGTGCAGCTATTGTTCGCCTTCACATCAAACGGCCCCCTTCGTTGGCGAGTCAGCACCTTGTGGGATTAAAACAAAAAGTATCAAGAGGTGCCGATAAATCGACCATTCCAAGTAGATTTGCTCAAGCTGAAGACTGCCTAGGGACATCAACTGAAGAGGGCATCATGCTACTGGAAATTTCATTCGCTATTGTTTGCTACACCGGGCCCAAAAGTACATATCTTAAGACTCAAGAGACACCATGCCACCAGTGACAGCCACCTTAAGGTCGACTGTTTTCCCAAATTTTCGCTTTCACAGAGCTGATCCCCTTACTACGGCCGCAAGACCGAAGTCATTGGTTTATGTTTGTATGACTGGTAATGCCGTTCGGAGAAAATCTTGGGGTGTTAAATCGCGTTTGTTCCATATTCGAACCACGTAACACTGCAGATTGTCAACATATTTTTCCATTGCCCCGCAAGTTTCATTTCTCGATGATGTCAGGAAATTGTTTCGACCAGGGAACAAGGCTGGCAACTTTCACCAGTGCTGGCCCACATCATTAGTTAGCCTCGTTATGCTGTCACGACTATCTCACCGTCCGACCTCTCGGTCAACGGAATGAGATAGGAAACTGAAAGCAGCTCCATGTCGCAGACTTGGGTTATCTTCCTTTCGAAAATCGAAAATCCTGGGGCGCACTTGAGTACCACCACGTCATCCCCGCTGAACAGACCGCCGTCCGCCGATGGGTCGGTGACGGGACCTTTAGATGACTCCAATTTCATGCACAATAGACTTGCCAATGAGGGCATTAGGCGTTCCCCTCCCTTTGATGCTGGATTATTTCCAGCACGATTGGCGGGCAAGAATTCAATTTCGCTCATCCCCTATTCACGCTGTCGGCTGGCTGGAAAGAAGCCGACTTGTTTATTCATATCAACGATGCTGGCCATAGTTGCCCCATTGCTGTGAGCGAATAACAACCATATCGTGGAGTCGTCCGACAATGATAACTGACCTTACCACGCTGGGCGAGGGAGCCACCAGCAGCGGGCCGCCAGATTCGTGTGAAGTAGGGGTGATTTACGAGTCTTGCAGGGTGGCTCAAATTAGCTCTGAGTGATGCGGGAGAGGGGATCGTGCCGTGCTGCTCGCCGATGTAAAGCCCGCCGACGCCGCCGGCGGAGCTATTCTACGCGACGGATGGAACATTGGACCTTTTAAAGCCAGACCGTCGCTACGTTGTCGATCGCCGACTATATATCGTTGCAGGTTTTTTTGGTATCCTTTGTCCGGTGTTTGGTACCGTTTGTTTCTTAAGCCGGTCGTGTCATTTGTCGCTATATTACTCACCTACGCAGAGCGCGCGTTTAATAACAAGCCACCACGTTGAACGTCTACGTTGAACTCGCCTGGCGCTTACTTCCGTAAGATCGGGTAGTCTCACGCCGATTAGACGCAGGACACACCCCGGGGCGAAGATCCCACACCCAGCGGCATTTCCCCGGCGCGACCAAAGCAGCTGGACTGGAGCGACTGGAGCGACCCATGGCGCGGCGTGAGTGCCGCGCTCAGCGCGCCTTTGGAGCAGAGCAGTGGCCTCGCGGCGGCAGCCGGTGTCGAGTTACGACCTCTGTCGGGCCACTCCGCCCGCCAGCGAATGGCCTCAGGCGCCGCCGACGCAGACCACCTGTTATCGACCGGCGGCAACGCACCCGGCCGGGGCCCTTCCCTTCCAATCAGAGCGGCAGCCGCGGGACGGGTCTGGCGTAGTGACCGCCGCCTACAGGCTCGGTGAAAGTCCTGTCTCATGTGTCCTGGTCTCGAGCTTGATGCAGCTGGCTGCTGGCTTGATGCAGCGAGGCTGGCTGTTTGTGACCGGATAGGTCTGGAATCTGGTGCGGTGCAATGAGACGACTCGGATACAGTCGTCCGGAATAGGATCTGCGCCCGACATTTCGCCAAACGCCTGTAGCTGTAACACTGCACCGCCCGAAATATCCTGCGGCTCCAATGAAGTTTGGCCCTAATAAAGTCGGCCGGAAATTGGAGACCTGTGCTGTGCACTGAATTGCTTCCATTGATCAGTCCGCTCCCTGGTTAATGGATTGAACCACAAAGTGTCTTTCAGGATTAACAGTTTTGAATTTCAGCCTGCGTATTCGCTAAAACTAAGCGTCACATTGTTGCAGATATAAGAAAATGTGATGTACGAAGTCGGAAGCGTGCTGATCGCATCACAAACACTAGTAGCTAAGTCAACGCTTCTGTTTGTTCCCTCTTATCAGTGAAGGATTCTTCCCAATCCTTGAGTTTTGAAAACTCCACGTCGGAGTTTGGACGATCAGAAGCACCAGAAGTGGTGTAAGGCTTCTGGAGTAACATTGACACCAGACGTTTACACCGTGCGTCTCCCAAACACCAAGATCTGGTGTGGAAAAACAGAGCAACATCGTGAAATGGTTCGGTTGTTCAACCCACAGGCGCGATAACCGCACACATTCACCATAGCACGATGTGTTCTAAACAGTACAAGGGGTTGCAAGCCGTGATGCCATCCACGGAAGCACCGCGCGTTTTCGGGCGTGGGACGGACAAGCGGATGCCCTATTTTCTGCGCTGCGTAGCAGTAGACACCGGCACAGCCTTAGAACATAACCTACGCGTGTTTCAGTCATGGTGAAGAAGTCGTTCAAGTATTTGCCTTGCAGGAGTGGATTCGCGTGGGCAAACTAGATCGTGGGGCGACGAGCGTGGACATCGATTACAGCGCCACTGGTAGCGGACTTTGGCCTTTTCATTGCGTTTGCAATGTATTATTATTTTGCTTTTGGTTACTAACAGCGTTAGCATGCACAAAGAGCTGTAAAAATACCTTTAACACGTCTCCATCAACCGCCGTAAAGAAGTATGCATTTTTCATGTATACGTTACTTTGCGATGCCGACAAATATCGCCAGCTTATTCCGCAAACTCGACTTTGTCCCCTTTTTGTGGCCTGTAACGTGCTAAATTGACTGGAATCGCAAAGCATCCAACATGAACAGTTTAGCCAAGATATAGAAGAAATGTTTCCTTCACCCAGAACAGACTTAGGGACAAAACTTGATTCAGCATTAGATGATTGCGAATTGTGTGTGCATTTTCCTACTGACGCAAACCGTCAAATTTTTGACATTTATGACAAAATGTGGTAGGTAGGAGAGCTTGTCCACTTTGGGCCATATACCTTGATTCGTTGTGAGGATAGAGGCACGGAAAACGTATTTGTTTTCAAGAAATTCGGTTCGGCCTGCTTTACTTGAAAAACAGCTGATCCTTGTACGCTGACGGCCATCGTCGTGGAATCCCCCCCCCACCCCCCCCCCCCACCCCCCCCCCCCCATTTCTTCTGTCGTCTAGGTTTACACATTTGAGCCACCCAGGCACGCTTTGTCCTCGAACTTAATCCACATTACAGCTTTACAGGGAAAGCTTTGAATATTTGAAACTCTGACTACAGCTCCTTGCAACATATGCAACATTAATATTCGATCGTCATGGGAAGAAATCTGCCGTTATTTCTACCGAGTATGGCGATGGAGCAATGTTGTGCAGCACTGTCAAGTTCTGATTGGTCTTACGGTTATCCGTTTGACCTCTGGCGTAAAAATTTCGACCCCTGTAGGTCGGGTCACCAACCCAAACTGGACAATGCAGGTCATCCTTTAAAAAGTTGACCTCATGTCGCGTTTAGGGGAAACATGTTTGGGTCGAGGTTGAGCGTAAAAGATCAGCCTAATATGCTGTGACGACGAAAAAGATTGCCTGGCATTTTAACATACCGGCAGTTCTTGGCCTAAGGACAGGTCACCTTCTAGTCTTAATTGCATTTCGGCTGATTCGTTTCTATTCTTTCCCCACTCAGTCTTAGATTTTGCTATAGACAGGGCCAATGGCCCATCCGGGAATACCACCATGAAAGCAGATAACCGCAAAATGCATGCTTGGCCGTAGGGTGGATCATGACCCCCATGACCCCATGACCCCTAAATTCCACGTGGCCAAGAAATAGTCGAAAAAAGGAAATGCATGGCGTTCAACCGGCTGGTGCTGACGGCGGCGGCGCGCGACTAGCTGGTGCCGATCGCGGCGGGGCGCGACCGGTTGGTGCCGACGGTGGCGGGGTGCGACCAACTGGTGTCGACGGTGGCGGGGTGCGACCGACTGGTGCCGATCGTGGCGCGCGACCGGTTGGTGCCACCGACTGGTGTCGACGGCGGTGCGCGGCCGGTTGGTGCCGACGGCGGCGGGGCGTGACCGACTTGTGCCGACGGTTTCGCGCGGCCTGTGCCATCAAGCCGGCCGCGTCAAAGTTGAGCGGAGCAGTAATCGTGATAAAAACGTTTTGCACAAACGAATAACGTGGCTCTGGATTAAACAATTGACAATTGCTGATGGCGTACAATGATCCATTGATATGAGATGCGCGTCAAAATGTAAGAATCGGTGGTGTGCATGCTTGCATTTGTACATCTAGAACAATCGAATGAAACATAAAATTTGTCATGCTTGTTAATTTGAAAATTGCCACCAACCACACTTCGTAGTTACTCAGAAAGAATGATAGACCCTTAATGAGACTGCATCATACAAAAAATAATGATCATAAACCAACACAGATGTGCACCACAAGGTAGTTATACACAAAGCTTGGTGCTAGAAAAAGAGGTAGGGTATCAAGCTGGACTGGTACGTAGGTTAATCACATTTCTATAGGCACACTGATATGCATGTGACTGAAGAATAATCAAGCAATACAAGAACTTGACAAAAATATGTCAATAACAAGAGAACATCTTAGATCACTTCACAACAAACTATCCATGACATTCACCACCAAAGATTACTGTGGAAGCGATGGAGAATGCCAAAATGCTGTGGGCGGACACGACGTGGTCCAAATTAAAGACCAAGTTGCACTATTTGCCCCATTTGAGACAGCGTGTAAGTATTTGCCTTGCACATTGCCAAAACATGAATTGCAGCTAAATGGACAGTATTTCTTTAAAATGCATTACTTCCAAGTTTAGGCTTATCAAGTCAAGTAAGGACCGCAGTTAAACTGACAACCATTGCACTGCTCAACCATAGATGCCTTATAGCATACCTTGCACTTGAATATTGATGGATACAGCAAAAGAGCAAAAACAGCACCAATCAATCCCACAGTAGTTGTTAAAATGTGTTGTTTCACAGAGCAAACCACGTCTATAAACCTCAAGCTAATGCAGAGTCCTACATGACGATTGAAATTATGTGCAGACAATAAATATATGCTGGCAAACCTATCCATCAAATAATCAGAAAAATAGTTAATCATCAGAATCAATGTCATCAGAAACTGTCGTCAGAAAAAACAAATGGTTCTTCCAAGTATGCGAGTGTGCTCCAGTTCCAGAGTGTGCTGTAGGTCCAGAGTGTTCTCCACTAGTTTATAAGACCCAAATGATATGCGACATTTTTTCCATGAGTTGGAAGAAGACAAACTCCCCACAATAAACGGGCAATTGTCAGTTTTCCCATTTTCTTGTCTCAACTCTTTTCCATTGTAAGTAGTATTGCTCGATGATGTTTAATAAGAATATAATGCAAATTGAATTGTAACCACAAATTGTGTACATAGACCAGTCAACATTCAATCTAGACAGGATTTTTAAATGTGATCATCACCTCTCTTTCCACAGCTAACTTAATTCTCATTTGACATTCCAAACTAACACTTGATGCATGAGCAGAAAATCCGGTATGTATCTCCTTAGCATAACACACTCCTGAGAACTATGTTGAAAAAGGACGAATCGTCTCTGTGCGTCTGGATTTCACCCCAACAAAGCAATGAACACCGGAATAACGCTTATTTTTTATTTGTCGCATACACCTGGAATAAGGCAGCAAAAAAGCAGGACTTGATACAGCAAGAACATGACAACATAGCGATGCCCGGCTGCCAATGAGACTCGTCCCCTAAGGTTACGCGGGACGGGGGACGGGACAGGACCTGTATCACGTTTAGCAGTGCTTCTCTGTTTGATCTGTCGTATAGAACACCTATCATGATCACCTATCATGACCACCTATTATGGCCATGTGGTCTGGCTCTGCATGATTTAAGACAGGGCTTTTCTTCTACATAATGAGCTATGCTCCGTCCATCAGCTTGGCTTTCATTGTGTGCATCGCTTTCAACTTTTAAAATGAGTCAATCAAATGTGGTAAAATGTACGTGTCAGTGTGAAATTAAGCTCTTGTAATTATATTCCGAAGTGGGTAATAAATGCAGCCGCGCACGGTATTAGCAAGAGTCGTGCATCACGATGAAATGATGGAGGATAGTCTCATCCTTGTCCTCATTGAGCGGTCTCAATGGGAACCCAGTGATCTTTGTTTGCTGACTGACTCATATTATATTGATAGGAAACGCACCTGACTTGTGTATTAACTGCGAAGTTCGGTTGCTGTGAAGATGTGACTGCGAAATGATGCATTGTATCGTGGTCCGAGGAACTCGTTAGCCCTTTGTTAGTGGTTGAGAGGCGGGCCTGTGTTGTGGCCCTTGCTCATTAGTTCATTGCATGACGTATCGAATTTTAATTGTTTTCCAATACTTACCACGAGTTTCCAAAATTTATTTTCCAATCTCCCGCGAGTTTTTGCACAGTTTCAAGACAGCCTGTTACCAAGACTTAACTATCAGAGGTACGGTATTTACATGTTTTCAAGACCGCCTGCACTAGTCTTCCACTTGAAGGATGTGGAATGTAAGTGTTATGCTTGGTTTGATCAACCCGATTGCTTTGAAACAATGTCGTTATGTTTTCAGGACGGCCTGCTTTCGAGTTCTGTCGCTGGTGTACGCCAAACTCCTGGTCGTCGTGTGCATCGCATTCCTCATATCGGAAGTCATCACCTCCAACGTGCCCCTGTACTACTACGAGGTGAGTGTTATCGGCGCGTCCTATTGCCGGCAAAGGCGACTTTGTTAAAGCACGTGGTGTTTAAGGCCAAACAAAGCTGGCGAAACCTCACGCTGCCCCGCGCTCTCGCGGCCTGCCAGTGCGAGGTTTGTTGGATGGCCGGCTTGATGATATGCCTAGACTCGATCATTCCGGCTGAGTGGGCCGCTAACGCCACATACTGGCCACAGGCTGCTGCGCGGTCGGCTGCGGCGCTGCGAGGTGCGCAGCTGCGGGCGGTTTGGCACAGGATGGGGTTGGGGTGTTTCAGGGGCCCGTGCTGCCGGGCAGTATGTAATCACGCAAGATACGACGTTGCGAAGTGTTGTTTGCTCTGTCGGGGGCGGGCAGTGCTGGCAGTATGCTCTGTCGGGGGCGGGCAGTGCTGGCAGTATGCTCTGTCGGGGGCGGGCAGTGCTGGCAGTATGCTCTGTCGGGGGCGGGCAGCGCTGGCAGTATGCTCTGTCGGGGGCGGGCAGCGCTGGCAGTATGCTCTGTCGGGGGCGGGCAGTGCTGGCAGTATGCTCTGTCGGGGGCGGGCAGTGCTGGCAGTATGCTCTGTCGGGGGCGGGCAGTGCTGGCAGTATGCTCTGTCGGGGGTGGGCAGTGCTGGCAGTATGCTCTGTCGGGGGCGGGCAGTGCTGGCAGTATGCTCTGTCGGGGGCGGGCAGTGCTGGCAGTATGCACGCATTGTGATATATTACGTATAACCTACGTACGGAGTAGTAGGTAAGTATGGCCCTAGGTTGAACAAAAGCGATTCTTTTTTATATAGGCTGGGCGGATATTTCCTCAGGCCGTCGTGCTTTGTCTTCTATATTGTACTTCGCTGAGGCGGTGTCGGTACATGAGGAATTATTTCAAGTTTTGGCGTGCATGGTATTTTGGATGACTGCGTTCATTCAGTAAGCTATGGAACTGGAACTATGAAGCATCGCACGGTATGCTTATCTTATTCCTCTAATTTTCCAATAATGTTTGCTCCATAACCACCTGTAGAATAAAAGAAGCACCCATTCGAGTTTCAGCGATGACCTACGAGGCGCACCAGGAAGGTCCGACAAATATTCAGTACACATCACACTTACTTGACACATCCTCGAAAAACGAACTGGGCGATGTTTGCTCAGATCACTGAGCTATGATATCACAAATAAACTTACACGGCAATTTGCAATTCTGAAAAAGGTAATTCTCCATTGCCTGTCTCGTTTAGGGCTGCCTTGATGTAGATCGCCAAGTAGGTTGGCTGTAGGTCACTAAGTCACCGAAACCGAACTGGTTTAACGTCTATCATGGTCGGGCCTGTAACACTACGAAATCCTACCGGGCTGCCACGCCACCAAATAGAATGGTTTGGAACATCCGTTTCTAACAATTACGTCGTGTGAATGGCTCATATGCAACACCAACTGAGCGAATCATCAGTGAGATTGACCAGGAGTATGGATTGCCGTTTGCATGTTGCCGGTCAGACTAGTAGATCCGGAGACACTAGTGTGGCCGTTCCCCCCCCCCCCCCCAGGCAGTCGCGGGAGGTAAAATATTCCGGGCGGTGGCGGGTTAAGTACATGTGGTACGGCACAGATGTGGCAGATTGTCAGGCGTCATTGCGATACAGTGAAAAGCGAGAACCGAGGGCTGGTGTCACGGAAATGACTAAAACATTGCTCTGGCTTATCATGGCTAAGTCGCTCAGTAATTTCCGTGCTTTCTTCCTGCCACAGGGATTCTTCGTCTACTTGTACGGCGGGAGTATCCTGTTTCTGATCTACATCTTCACCTACCTCTTGCACGAGAGCGGCTCTGGAGGCGCCGGGGGAGGCGGAGGCTCCGGATGCTGTGGAACTGTTAGTGGCATTTCTTGTGGTCTACGATGTTGAAAAGTGCTGTTTAACACGCCGCGGTGTTATCCTTCCAATTTTGGGCATATGAGCCGGGTATAGCACTTGCTTGCATTCTTGAGAGGCCTGATAGATTTATATTTATGATGATCATGAGCAAGACCATTTTGAACGTGTTAACGTTGTCACAATTTTGTGCTGCTGTCAGGCTTACGTACTTCGTGTAATGACAGATGCTTTGCCAATCCATTGCTATCCGTTTAACGTAGATGTCTGTACCGTATAAATCGGGAAAGGAAACATGCAAAAACATCTTGGCCTCTGTTTGCTGACAGAGCGCCAGCACCGCTGTGGAAGTGAGCCTTAACCACGGGAGCGGCTCCCCCGAGCACTTCTCGAGAACGGGCCGCCTGCGCAAGACCAAGACGAGCGATAATGACCACAGTCACGGCGGCTTCTTCCTGCGGATCGGCGCCATCGGTCAGTGAGGCCGGCCGGGGTGCGCAGGGCAGGGAGGTCGCATAGGGTCAGGGCTGCTGGTGCACGGCCGGTGGAGAAAGGTCTGCCTGTCATCACGCACTCAACTGCCATGTTACGTTTTTGTATTTGGCATGACTTGTGATAATGTTTTCCAGATTGTGACATGTCATCTTTCGTCGCGCAGTTCTGGCGTTCGATATGCTTACGAATCCGTATGATTCCTTCATCTCTGCCTGCCGCTTCACGCGTCGTTGTCCGTACTCTGGCAACTCGTCATGGTGACGAGCCGTCGGCCGTCATGTCACAGCGGGTGTGGCGCGTGGCGGTCGCCTCATGACGTCATCGAACGCCCCGCCCTTGACAGCGTTCGGCCTGGGCACGATGGTGTACAATGGTCTGGAGCTGGGCTCGTTCTTCGAGATCCCGCGGAGCTCGGACTGCTGGCAGATGATGCTGGCCGTCAATCCCTGCCTGCAGGCCCTCTTCACTTTCATGCAGATGTACTTCATCTTCATGAAGTCCAGGGTGAGAGGCAGTGTGCCGATTCATGGGATGCAGCAGGTTGGGTAGCAGTTTCAAACAGTGCATCTTGTCGCAGACGGCAGAGAAAACTGATAACTGCTGATTCATTCACGTAAAGTTTAGCCGAATTCCTTTTGCCTATTGCATTCCACGTGACAGTGCGCTTAGCAGACATTTAACTACTGTTGTTAATTTGACGTGAAGCAGTCAACATACCAGCTGCTTCCTCGCTCAGGTGATTGTGTGTTTTCTTAGTCTGACATTATGATATAGCTTATGTTACATGTATGCCATGGATTATACTGCCGCTGCACTGAAGTTTTTTTCGTCTTATAGTTTTTTTGTGCATGCCGTTCCGCTACTTCTTGGGTTCCTTTGCCCTGTTTGATCGCTACCCGCAAGTCGTTTCGCTGTCGTCTCTCTGCTCACATTACGTTCTCTCCCTTGTCCTTGTGGGTGCCAGTTGTCGTTCTCCATTCCCTTTTCATGCAGCCTGCTGTCGATCGCGTCCACATCCCGCCCAGCTCTAACCGGGCGGACCACTGGCAGTGGGCGCTGCCGCTGGCCGATGTAGGGGAAAGGGGAGGGACGACCCTCTAGATGCCCCATTATACAGCGAGGCTATTACGTGCGCTGGGCACTCGGAGATCGGAGGCCACTTCTGTAAAATACAGTGCACTCTGGCGGAGCAGCTCGGGTTTGGGGCCCTAAGCCAACGTGAGGTCGGATATTCTTTGTCTTCTGCGCTGTCTCACCACAGCTGGCAGTTGTCAGTGACAATAGCAACATGTTCTGGGGAAGCGAACGTCCTCACACAGCCGTTCAAGAACCGCCGCGTTCTAAGGAGCAAAACCACACGCGCAGCAGAAATAGCAAAACAGTGGTTGTCAGCCCACTTCAGGGGGCGTCACATTTTCCTAAAAACTAAAGTCGAACAGGCCCCCTTCAGAGCCGTGCGCACACACTGCCCCCCCCCCCCCCCCCCTCTCCCCAGGGCACGTGTCCCTGTGTTCCCAATCAGCAGATAGGTTCTTGTCCTTCTGAGGGCCTCTTGCCGACACAAGATGCCCTGTTGGGCAGGCTCCTCAATCGACATAGGGGCCCTTTGTCGTCTGAGGGGCTCCGAGCAATGCAAGAGGCCTTTTGACTAGCATTCGTTTGCCCCGGCCTTCTCAATAGCAATGGACCGTTTCGGTATTGGTGGTCGCTGACCAGCACAGAGGCCCTCGTTGTCCCAGGTGGTCCCCGATCGGCACGAGAGGCCCTGTAACTGACATTTGTAGGTGCCGGTCCTACGGGCCGTGGTCCCTCAATGCAACCCCGGTCAGGCCTTCGGTCACGTGCCCCCTGCGCCCCCTAGCCCGCGCCCGCCTGCCTGCACTCCCTTGCCTGCGCCCCTTTTGCCTGCGCCTCCTTGCCTGTGCCCCTGCGTGTTTGTGGTTGGTACCACATTCACTTGTTTAGGTACATCACGCAGCCTGCGTGTCAGGCTAATACACGTGGATACCTCAGATAATGTAATTGTGATGCGTAAGGTCAATCTCACGTTAGATACAGCCCTCGCATTTGCGACATCCAGACAATTAATCCATAAGCTCACATTGGTGGCCCGGTTCAGTGTTGACCGTTTCCCGCACTCTCGTCTGCTGCAGCTGAACATTCACAAGTTTAAGGTGGTGGCCCGGTTCGGCCTGATGCACCTTGTGGCCACCAACATCTGCGTCTGGGTCCGCACGCTGGTGCGCGAGAGCCTGCGAGTCTTCACCGACTACAGCGAGGCGACGGGCGACGCCAAGACGGAGGACTTCATGATACTGGGTGAGTGACAGCCCTTTGCTTCCATGAAACGGCTGCATGTGTCGTTGGCCGTAACTTATTGTGCGTCATGCTGTTGTTTTCCGACCTGCCACCCCTGTCTGATGGAATATTTAACTATGAACACGCGCCCGTGTGGTCGGTTTAACGCGAAGCGCTCGGCTGAAGAGGGGCCACCTTGATACTCTGAAATATCAGAAGGTGAGAGGATTAGAAACAGCGCACAGGGGAGGTAGGCTCATTTGAAATCATATGTGTTAATTTTGCAGGTCCCTAGGTCGTGACCTTCGGGTAAAATGAGGCCGAGCAAGGTTAAACTCGAGATCAGTCTCCGACGTGCTCTCGGACCTCCTCGTGCAATCAGGTTTACCTTCCAAACAAAAGGTCACTCTGGGTCATGCTAGGTTGGGAACCTCATCTGATATTGATGTAAGCACAACGAAAAACAATTTTGATGTTATTTAACTTCCTAATATAAAGTTAAAGTCAACAGCTGCCCTAAGCGGATGCTCGTGATTACAGAAGAGTAATTATTTTCATGTTAGGCTGACTTTCATAAGGTCAAAATAAGAAAGAAGCTTGCATTGTGATCAAAGAATTCGAAATAAATGTAAAAAAGTATGCAATTAAGTCCTCAAGTCGAAAATCGGTGTGTTTTAAACCTTGATCTGACTTTTGCACCTTACTCAAGGTTTGTGGAGTTAGCTGTAACCCTTATATGAATTTATGTCTAAGAAATCAGTTCAAATTTGTATGACCTCGCCTCACTGTCCGCTGTCGCAACAGCTGGAAGATCCCAAGAATTCATTTACTGACATCCATAGTCTAATTTTGACCTGCTGTAGGCCAGTGACCTTAAAATTTATTTATGATTTGCTACACCAAAATATCGCCTTTTCTATTGTTTAGGGCAATACAAGGTTGGACGTCGCTAAAACAGTACCGATCAGAAGTTTGAAAAACCGTATGGATGGTCAAAATTATCCCCTATTCGAGCGCATGTTAAGATAAGCCATTATCCGTTCAAATGCAGGCAGACATCGGGAGCATTGATGCATTCATATGATGTCATGGGAGAAAATGTGGTTTCAGACTGCTCGACGTAAAGACCGTGTTGTCGTCTGCGTGGCGGGCGCTAGTGACGTATTGACGGACCGTGTGCCGTTGCGCGCCAGCTGTTCTCAGCTGGCTCTCAGAATCAGCTGACGCCTGGCGACGATCGAAAAAAAAATAGCTGGCCGAAAAACTGGCTGTAAATTACCACCCTTGTTGAGGGCATCAGTTCAAGTGCCTGTCATATCTGTACTTGGTACGGGCACTTCCACGCAATATAAAAGCACTGCATAGCGCACGTTCCTCGGGGGTGTTTGTACGACTGGCAGCCCAGTTCGAAAATGCCGAGTCGTTGCATTGACAAAGCATTTCTACTGGAATGGAAGGCGACCATCTCCGTGCATTTACTTATTTACAGCGTAGCGTGCTATTAGGCCGGCGAAATTCTGGCGGGCGTCCTCCTTTTAACAGATTTATGTATTCGTGGATGGGAATCTGTTGCAGTTTAGTCACAAGCCTTTAATGAATGGTAGTCTAGCTGGGCATATTCAGATATGCTGGCTGAACTTCTGCTTGGCTCGGCCCGGAACGGAACTTGTGCCTGATCGCATATCACGTATTTGCATGCATATGAAAAGGGCATCCTATAATCGGATGAGATTATTGCGGCGAGCAATTTCCGATGCCAATAAATTTAGCCATTATTTAGGCCACCTGACATCTTGGCATTTGTCCAGAGGACTGACTGTGGCGTTCGAGCGTTTGTCTAGAGGACTGACTGTGGCGTTCGAACGCAGTGGCACTCTGGTACCCCATCGCAAGCACGATGTTCCGTTCGAGAAATGAGACCGGCCAGCTGCGTTATGTCCTTGGCTAGCGGTGGCCTCAGTCCAGATCCGTTATGGGACCAGCTGGCGAGATGTGACCAGTCTTTGAGATTAGTACTGAGTTGCGCCTACCACCACATTGTTTTGTTACTGCACTAGCCGGACGAGACCTGTCCTCCGATTCCCCCCCCCCCCCTCACCGGACAGCCCGTCAGCACCTGCCCCGCTCAGTGGCATCACAAAATAAGTGGGGACTGAATCTTAGCGGATAGCAGCTTCGCATAGGAATTTTAAAACTGAGTTGCATCAGTGTAGCGCATCATTGGTGCAGCTAAACTTGGACTCTTTGGCCTGTTTACGAAACGCGTCACACATGGCAGGATAACGAGGGGCTTTCGCGTCAGCCGTGCGACGCGTCCCTCTTCCCTTCAGCGCGCGTCCCCATGAGCTTAACCTCCCCTGCAGGCAAGCCTCGCCTCCCTGAGGTTGAGGCCCCTGTCCAGCCCGTTTGATGAACCCTGCAACTGACCCCGGAACGGTACGGTCGCGTGCCAACGCCGCACCCCACCAGCCCACCAACGAGACGCCACTCGGGCGGGGTGATGCCGGCGCCACGCTCTCTTCCGAGGGGCTGGTGCAGAGCGCGTGGAGTACCCTGCTGGACGACTGGCGGCTCCGGGCTGCTGCGATCCGGCTGGACATGGTGCTCACCGGCACCGAGCATGGACCCGTCGCAAGCGTTACCCCAGCGAAATGCGAACATAATATGCGAAATTCACCAATCAAAACGCCTGTGCCCAACTCGCTTATACTTGTTTTCAGTCATGGGGAAATGCCCGTTCTACTATTCCTGCTTGGGGTTTCAAGGTAATGGCCGTGATCGAATTGGTTGGCGTGACGTTACAGGGATCTGTTTTGCCTTCAAATACAGCAAGTCACGTGTCGTGGACACATGCCACGCTAAAAAACACGTCAAAAGACATGGTTTCTCTGCCTTTTGAGGATGGATGGAGGTTTTAACAGCCAGTTGTTGTCGTGCCTGCACCTCGTACATCCTGCTGTTCATGCGGATACGTAGGTTATGTTTACTTGCCGTACTTAGCGAGCTCAACCTGCATAGTATGCTATACGCCACATCTTCCAATTGTCTGTTGCATAATGTGGTTTATGGTCACAATTTTCCGCTTGTAGCGTTTCGTGCTGTATGTCAGGCCAGCGTAATGCGTTCAGTTATTCAACCCTTCATATATTATGTACCGTATCAGCTTGCATTGGTAGCCGGCTTGTGTAAAGTAAGAAGTTCTCCACGATGTATACGGATGATGATATGGCCCACCCAATGATCACGAAAACACGAAGCATCAAGAAATGCAATGCGTTGATTTCATAGCATGGCAGCGTATCATTTCCGTACGCGCCAGTTCCCGCCCTCCCGATTTTCGCTGCGTTCGTTTTCATTTACGCTGATAACACGTGGACACAGCCGCCAGCTGTCTTTGACCATGGCCGGCCCTCGTTCATTGCAGAAAGACACGGGGAGAGCGAGGCGAAAAACAACTGCGGCCGAATCAACATCATGGGCGAGGTGGTGGGCGACGCGTCACCCTACCTTTTCCCCCTGATCATCGAGTATTCGCTGATCGGCGCCACCGTCATCTTCGTCATGTGGAAGAACATCGGTCGGTGTCCACACTACGTGGACGAGGACGTCAACCGTGACCACGTCAGCGTTTCTTCGAGGAAAGCGCACACCAAGGTGAAGAGCAAGCTACTCGGTCACACCTGCTCCTGCCCTCCTCGCGAAAAAATGGTCGTTGTTGTGCTGTAACTGCATAGGTTTCGTTTCGAATTTGTATGTGAGCTGTACTTGGGGTGAACTTTCCATTATACCAGGTTTAACGGTTTTTAAAGTGCGCTAAAATGTTTACACGAGTTTTTTTGCTTGCATCTTCTGTGCCAAGCACAACAGTTGACATGCAAAGACAACCTTATTACCAAATAAGCTACCATCAAATGCATGCGTTGTTGGTCTTTACGGTACGTATATTCCAATTTATCATCACTGCATCAAGCGATCACCATCTCAGCGTATCTGACGATGGTTAGAACAAAGCGAGGTGTCGTAAGCATTGCAAAACCACAAAATAAATCCTGGCTCAAGTTTCTGGTGGATTACATCACATTACGTTACAAATGCACTCTTGTTTGATGACGGTGCATCGGAGCGGTAGCAGTGTTTAGATATGATGCTGTTTGCAATCCCTTTCCATCTCCGTTTGGTTACCCTACTTGGGCGGGTTCTCACACCACCCGACCACTTCGCGTGTTGGCTGCAGGTGGACTGCATCGGTGTTTCGAAGGGCCTGTTCTGCGGCCTGCTGGCGCTGGTCATCATCACTATCTGCCTGGTGCTGTTCTTCGTACTGGTGCAGCAGGATCAGCACCGCCGCCTGGCCATCTTCCTGGCCGACACCAGCCACGCCGGCATCCTCTTCCTCATGATGCTCGCAAGTTTGATCGGAATTCTCAGGTTGGAACTGCTGGTGCTGCTCTGGTCTATGTCGAGGCCTTAGATGAGTCACAGGCTCTGCCAACTATTTTTCATCAGTGTTTACCGCCTGGTCTGCTGTGATGACTGAATCCAGTGATATCTATGGTTACGTTGATTTAGATGATGTTTAAGATGCTTCGAAATTAGCCATGTTTTAAAGTTAGCAATTTACAGCTTCTACCCCCGCTATGCTTATAAAACTGACCACTTCATGCAGTGTATCATCCGGTTTTCAGAAGCAGAAGGCTGAAGTTTGCTTATGACAAGCCTGATGACCTGGACGCCATCTTGTTGCGGGTGTCGGCATTCGGCCTTTTCCTGTACTCGATGTTCTGCTTGATCGCCGCCGCTCTGTCGCCCATGCAAAACGTCCCGAACATTCTGGTTCTGGTCACCTCGGCACTGGTCATTCTGCAGGTCAGTGTCATCTTGCGGCAAAATCGTGAAGTAATGCTTGCGTTTTGTGACGTCTATGTCACTTACTGTCGACGGTTTCAGCCAAGCACGCGCTTTTCTGAACAGCTATGGGCCTTCATCCACTCCGCAACCTTTTACTTAGTACCTCTCTAGGCGTTGAGACCAGTTATGGAATACGAAGTACGTAAGATCTTCTGAGAAAAAACATGTTTATGTCGCTTTGCGGTATGTTGTGCGGACTGCCTTACTCAGGCTGCCTGTTACTGACATTATGGTTTGATGAACTTTCGGCTTAATTTGGTTAACGTTGCGTCTCAGAAAAGTGGCAGGGCTGGTTTGATAAGTCTTATGCCAAAAAGCACGGTGTGGACGTGTCTAAAACACGGACAAGATAGGAACTGCGCTCGCATTGATGACGGCCGGGGTGGCGCTCTCAGGTGATGAGTCAGCTGATATACATATCGGATGTGGCGAAGCGTTCGGTGTATCTGCCGGAACACGACCGAACCAAGCCCGGACGCCACGTGGTCACCTTCCTGCTGCTCTGCAACCTCGCCCTCTGGCTCGTCTACACGTTCGAGATCGAAAAAGTGGACGCAAACCCCGTGCAGGTTAGTGAGAAAGCAACAATGGGTATTGGGGCATGCGACTTACTACGAGAAGTGAGATTGATAGCTGTTGTTGGCACTGTGAAAGCCAAGCAGAAAAGACAGTTTTTTTCAGCGTTTTTTCGCTATATTGTTATTGTTATTGTAAATATATACTTACACGCACACGTACACGCATACGCGCACGCACACGCACACGCACACGCACACGCACACGCACACACACACGCGCGCGCGCGCGTGCATTGTAAGACATTGTAAGTGTCTTTTTGTAAGACACATTGTATTATTTCATTTTTCTTATTTCTCTGCCGCATCGATCGTAAAGGCTTTGGCTTTTTGTAGCAGTGTCAGTATCACACACCCTTTGTTGCTCGTGAGGAATTAGCGCACTTTCGCCTCCACGTCTGCGGATGCTCGAATTCGCGTGGCCTCGAGCCTGTTAGATGCGCATACGAAGATCGTTTTTGTAAGCCACATTGGCACTCACCTCCTTCCTTTGTGTTGGGCCAATTATTAACGTTGATTGGATTAATGAGTTTGAAACAACGATGTGACACGTTTGACATTATCTGCCGTCCATCAGTGAGCACGATTGAGCTATGCCATTAAAGTATTGGCACCGTTATCCACATACTCGTAATTGCTCTCAGCCTGTTCCAGCAATAATTCACCTACTTTCCGCTTACGACATGGGTTATTTCTTACGAATGACAGCATTCAATCCGTTTCTTCATGTCATCCGGCAGCGTACTAACACACACATAGCACACCAGTTGGCACTAACACACACTGAGCACACCAGTTGGCCTGTTAATAACGAACGCAGCTGTGGGTCAGGAATGGTGTCGGCTCCATTAGAGATAACTACCCTGGAGTCTCACTCCATTGTCTGGATGAAGATAGCGATGACTTGTTGCGTCGTACCAACACCTGTCGCCCTTTGAAGGCCTGACGTGGGGCCACGTTTCATGTTTACCATTGCTTATAATCCAGTCCTTGGGTGGCCTCTCTGTAACGTATGACACAATTTAGTAGTTCTTGTCATCTTGTCGGAGTACATTCTGATTACGGCTTTGTGTTTCCATCTGACCGTCCAGAGCTACCAATGTGAAGACAACGATTGCCATCATAATGAACATATTGTACTTCCACATCACCACCAACACAGATTTTATCATCGTGCGTCACATGTGCGTTCCTCTGCCTGGTGTCCATGCTGGCGCCGCTGTGATCTGTCGGATGAGCCGTTGACCATGACCGTCCATTTACTGACAAGACCCTGCTGCTGACCTCTTGAAAGCTTAGCCGTGATAGTCTGGTGCCTGGCAGTCCGTCCTGGTGCAAGAAAGCAGGTGACGGGTTAAGGTCAGCCGCCCCGTGATACCACGGGTCACTGTCCAGTGACGCGTCCTCTGATCAACATATCTTGATTGGCTGGCGCTTGACAGCAACGCCTCCTCTCCCTTGATGACCCTCGTCTGACCTGTGGACCTTGCATCTGACCTGATGTCCCTCTCTCTGACCTGGGGACCTTGTATTTGACTCGGTGGCCTATGTCCTGATCTTCTGGCGCGCCGGCTGTTCCAGTTGAACTTTTACGGCCGGCTGCACTGGGCGGTGATCCTGCGCGTGACGTTGCCGCTGGCCATCTTCCACCGTTTCCACTCGGCCGTGGTGCTGGCCGAGGTGTGGAAGTCCAGCTACAGGGCACGCGAGGACTGAGCCATCAGCGGAAACGGCTCCATGTCCCGACGCCAGCGCTGTCCACGCGGCCGGACCGGTGCCCGACTTTGTGACGCGCCACGACCGGGTCCGCCGGTTTTCCGGCTCGGCCCAGGCGAGTACCGTTCTGCAGTCAGCTGAAGGCGTGCGGGGACTGGGTCAGCGACGTTTCGCGCCGTATACCACGGTAGCATGTGGAGTCCGGCTACAGGACGGAGGGCCTGAGACCACGGCTCCTCGGCCCAGCCCGGGACCTGTCGTGAGACCAGGCGGTGAACCTACTGCGAGACGGGGTCACAACGCCAGACGCCGCGATGCGCTGCCCTGGAGACGGTGGTCAGAATGCCGGCGATCTTTCGGCTGTCTGACGCGAGTTCGCGTAAAATCTGACAGCGCTGCGTGCTGCGGGACTACGGCGTGGTGGAAGTGGTTGCTGACGAAGAGTGCGGCAGTGGACAGCGGCTTCTGCAGCTGTCATTATCGCGGTCGCCTGGATGTGAACCCACCGAACACTGCCCGCCTAAGGGCCCACTCATCGGCCCAGCTGGCGTGATGAGGACGAGTGATGAGGACGAGTGAAGGCGTAGCAGCCACGCTACGAGCAAACGGCGCGCTGGTCTACATGTGCATGGTTTGGCTTCAGCTTTTTTGCTGTGGCGAACAGCTGGGCTGGTTCAGCCGTCAGCACCACGCGTTGTTTGTGTCACGCGTTGCGCTAAATTGTCTGCTGTGGGTGTGCCAGCCATTACCAACAGATGCTCCTATGAACAGAATCAATGCCTACAAACAAGAAAAATGGGCTATTTGATTCAAAGATAATCCTCCACATATCTTTGACGTTCCCTGATGTGTACTGTGCTACTTCATAGAGGTTCACGTATTCTTGTCTGGCACAACGGACGTTGCATACACTTCAGTGGTCACGTATCTGTATTTATAACCGCGGTGTAGATAGCAAAAATTACCGTACCCTTTGGCTCCGCCTTCGTTAATTTGGTGGACTCCTGGAGTTGACAGAGACAGGGTTGCTGGTTTACCGTAGAGTGTCCATTCAAGCCTACATATCCACATACTTGGTCGTAAACTGTCCGTCGCTGAGTCGCAAGCAGTACGTGCTACATTTAGGACGCCTGGAACGTGTTCAATATGACGGGAACCCTGTTCGCAAAAGGACACCATAGTTCAAATTTAATGCATAACGTGCACGCGGTGCAGCCATGAACTAAATGTGTTTTGAAGGTTCACTTAGGCATATCCTCACTGATGTATTTTTACCGCGATGGATTCAGAAGAGAGGTGTCGGTGACAGCGGTACTATAGGGTGCCGGGTTACGGCTGTTGGGCGGCGGGCGTTCTATGTGCCAGAAGCTTTATACGTGTATTTGTGAATGGACCCTCAAGACTTAAGCAAGCTTTTGCTGTCCAATGAATCTCAAATGGGTGTGAATCGTGGTGACAATTACTGCCTGTCCGCGACGTGGGAAGGAAGCGTCTCGCGGACGTGAAGAAGAGGTGCAGCAGGATCTTCGATCTGAGATGTACATGGTCTGTGCAGGCGATTACGGATTTAGCAACCAGCCAATGGGGTCGCTGGTACGCGAATTAAGGTGGCGACACGGGGCGTGCGTAGGCATCTGTGCAAGTGTGCATGCACGGAGCCATGCTGCACAGTGTTCTTCATTGTCTAATGTACGTGTTGCAAGTCACTGCCTCTGGTATCATTGAGGAATTTCGGCGTGGTTGTTGCTGCCACGGAGCTGTTTTCTACTGTTTGAGAGACGAGCGTTTTTACATGTTTTGAGTCACCCGGGACGTGTGCACTGTGCACGTGCACACTCTGTCCGGTTCACTGTGCATGAACTTTGTTTTATATCTTTGTACCTCGCTTGTGTGGCGGTATATAGCTTAGCGCCATCTGTCTGAGACTTGTGGCCCTTTTCCTGCCGGCATGCTCGGCTAGTAAAGTTCGAAATACTATGATCTGTCACTTCACTTTTGCATCCATGTGTTGCCAGGAAACAATCTCGTTGTGTGTGTGTGTGTGTTTGTGTTCGTGCGAGGATTCAGATAATTTCAAATATTGGGTACTGTAGTGTCCGGGTGCAGCTAGTCAGGATGGATGTTCAGCATTGTGACACTACGGTGGAGTGTAAATAATGGCCATCTCTTCGGTGTGCGCACGAGAGTCTCGTGGCACCGTTTGATCATCATTTTTAATCTCAGTTCACATACGTTCTGCTTCCATAATAATGGCACATAAGAACCCCTATTGATTACCATTTTGAATCTCAGTTCACCTGCGTTCTGTTTCCGTAATAATGGCACAAATCACTCTCACCCAAGACGTGTCGCAGATCTGAGAGAAAGAGAATCTCTGTGTTCTGAAACGCTTACAAATACAAATTGGGAGGTCACGTGCCCCTGGGTTCAGCTCGCAGTTCCTGGACTACGGTCTCTGCTTATGCGGCCGCCTGTTTAATTCTCCGAACTGAGTCACACGGTTGGATGCATTATCTACCCGTATGTTTTGAAACTTCAAAACTGAACTTCCAGGCCGTTGAAACCATTTAGAAAACCTTCTGTCATGCTGTCAGTGTCTCCTGAATAAAGGTGGTGAGGTGAAGAGGGCTGTATATCCCGACATCAAAGACCATGTCAACAATGACATGTGGCGTCAACAGGTGACGTGAACAATGGTGTCACCGGGGTGCAGAAGAGGCAGCGGCTCTAATGTCGCCTCCAAAGCGCTTCGAGTTCACGCGCCCTCATCACGCACTTGTCCCACTGCCGACGTCGAACCCCTCATCACGGCTTTTTTAGGGCAGTTGTTGGAGCTATTTCGCCTCGATCGACTCGGTTCTAAAAAATTGACCACAACTTACGAGACACCAATGTGTCAGGCGAAAACAAACTTAGCATCAGACGGTAAGCGTCGCGTTTGTTCGTAAGGGATGGCTAGTGTTGGTCAGGGTTGGGTAGTTATTTAGTCTTATAGGCGCGTCAGCTGTCTTGGATATTTGCGCCGTTTGTTCATGGGACCTGGCGCTTCAGAAGGCAGGGCATGCGGCGTGGCTCGGCCGCTGAGCCCGTCTTCCCCGCCGGGGTGGGAGGTCGAGTCTCATCAGCTGCTGAGCCGTTGCGTAAAGCCCCAATAACATCAAGAGCGTGGCTTCGATAGAGGCTACGACTATGCAAGGTCTGCCATCACAGCAACGTCGTTTCACCTGGCCGTGTACCGGCGGGTACTATCCCTGACCTTGACCCCGTCAGAGTGCCGGAACTTGACCTCGCAGGCCGCGTTGGTGTTCATGTGTCTTTGAAATGGCCATGTTTTCAGGAACTGCGCCAAGGAATGCAGGACAGCCATTTTCCTGAGGCCGTGCGTGTTAACATAAAATATTGTAAACTGAATCGCTTGATGTTGTAGTGGAGCAGAGTTGCCCCCATTCGGCCAAGCTGTCCACCCCGAGGTCGCGAGGCTGCCGACGGTCAGCTGTTCGCCCAACAGTGAGACCAACCCGGCATGAACTAGACATTCAAAGTAATTCCCAAATTGTGGCCCTTACTCCAAGATATCAGTTCTCGTCGGCTGTGCATAAATGTTCATGGGTATACGTTCCATTGAACGCCTTTTATGTACAAACAACGCTGTACATAAAGGGCGTCACGGTTGTCGATTTGTATTATTTTGTGAGGGCCATGCCCCCCCCCCCCCTCCCCAATGTTGAGTTGGGCCTCCCAATGTTGGCTTGGCCCTCCCAATGTTTTGGTTGGAATACCGCAAAAAAACGTGGGGAAAAGATGATCACAGCATTAAGACTATGTTCTTTGATCTTTCTGCGTAGTGGCGTCTCGTACCACTCTCGTGACAAAAAATCATGGCTGCTGTCACCACCAGATACAATTCGTAGCAGCTAAGCGGGTACACTATACAATAAACTTCACATGCGTAGCGCCATCAGATACGCAATGGTTCGTGAGATTAAAGTGAAAAGCTCTGGAATATTGAAATGACCTAAATTCTTCATGGCTAACCCCGTCTCCGTCCAACACAATCAAAATGTCGTCTTCCATGACTGCTATGGAAGAGCACCATCGACGTGTTCAAGTGACCTCTTAAGGGCCTTCATGTGCTAATTAGAAGAAACGCGTACGTACAGTGCCTGCTACATGGATCCAGCCCTGCGTGGCTTCTGTACTACTACATTAAAAGTTCTTATAAATTACACAAAGATTAAAGCCATATATTGCGTTTAAACAAAATAAAGTGGGCTAAATCCGGTGAGAAAAAATTGGGGGTAGGTTTTCGGGCCTTTGGCTCGCCCCCCCTCCCCCCATAATTTACAGAAATCGGCACTCCTGAAAGGCGTTCGATGGAACGTGAGCTCTTAAGAAAACCGTGATAGCTGATGGTCGCCGTCAGAAGACGGATTGGGTTAATGCTAACGGCAACTCGTGCGATACTTATCAATGCGTTATGTTTTCCCAAAGCTCAGCTACTGGCGTTTGCCTCCCCCTTCCCCTACCTCAGCTAGGCCGGACAGCAAGCCAGCAAGCCTAGGCGTTCTAAACACATCTAAGGGGCAAAGTCCTAAGCCTCTGGGAGATCCGTTTGTCAGAAATTACCTCAGGAATTACATAAGATTGGTGCATGCGTGTTAAACTTCATCCCTAGACAGTATTTTAAGTGAATAAGTCATTTGCCTCAGTGGTACGACAAATATTTTGTGGTTATAGTGGTTACTCAACTACTGTGGTTATAGTGGTTACTCAAGTGGTTACTCAACCATAACTTACCTTAGCCTCCATTATGTCGGAGACCACACGCAGCCGTCAGGAACTGACGAGACCTGGTGGTAGGGTCTAAAAAAACCGGCATATGACGAGGGCTCGCGGGTTTTCCAAAACAGTTCGACCGATCGCCTTAAAACTTTCACCAATCGATTCCGTACAATGAGGTGAGTCACGTGGAGGCAATATCGAGACCTGACCTGAGGTCAAACACCTCGAAAACGCGAATGGACAATTTTACGTGCGAATGCAGGCAACTCAGATCTATGAGCCTACTGGACCGATCACCGCAAAGCTTTC